AGGCAGTGATGCCAGCTAAAGAATAAAATTAAGTAATTAAGTTAATTCGATATATTGTTTGTGATATTAAAATATTTGTTATTTTTGTACTTGAGTAAGTTAATATTTAAATTTACCTTTTTGTAGGTAAAACATAAAAAATACGTAGCATTTTATTTTTTATTGCCCTCAAATGGGTCAAAATTGTCCCTTTTTCGGTGGCTTCACCGAAAAACTTTTTTAGTAGCAATACCTATGAAATGTCAGAATTCTACGGAATTAAAAATCAGAGTTTAGCATCATCACGTGAACGTTCCTCCCTTATAAAAAAAATTGAAAAGGCCTGTAGCAACACAAAACTATTTAAATAAACATTTTTTTAAACAAGTTTTCGATGTCTGAATAAAGCAATATTCTAACAAAATATGTCAAATTACTTTAACTGTACTATACAATTTTTCAATCAAATTTATACAAAAGTTTTACCCTCAATTATGGGACATACTTATGAGTAAGCTCGTATTGCTACGCTTGAATTGAATTAAGCACCGATATACCAAATGATTGATGTGAGACAGATTCTTAATCGAGTTGGGAGTTACACTAAACTCCGAAGCTCTTTGATAAGCTTTTGAGTTAGGGAATTAATGCTGTGCGCCCACGTATGGTATAATACAGGCATTTAATATATTTTCTTACAGGGAAAAGTCACATATTTCTTAATCCAGATATTGGAAATTTTAATATCTTTAACAAATGTGGATGTGAAACTCCACCATGAGTCATTGTAAATATATATGGAATATACTCGTATGAGGAAATCGTTTATTAAAACCTAAACATATAAAACATATTATAATAAAATATATAGTATTTACAATTTTCTTAACCTACATAGTACTAATAAAAAGAATTAAAAATTGATAAATAGAAAATATTTATTTTTTGATATTGGTCCCTGTGGCAGTGTACCTTTATGGTATATGTATACTTATTAATTAATTAATAGACTATTTTAATTTATATTAAGTCTATTCTGTTTTTCATGTTAAGTCTATATTTATCAGTATATTTCTGATTGTGTTTCTACTATATATTTTTTCGTATCTGTGAAGCAATTTAAGGAATCTAATTTACTTGGACCTTTCATATATCCTGTATTTGTGATGTGTCTTAACCGTTTTCTTCTTAAATAAATATTAATATAATTAGTGTTATAGTCAATTATTTTAATTTTTTATACTTTATCCTCCACCATAACACCAACAGAACATTTCGATAGAAAATATGAAAAACAACCTAACACAAATAAGGTACAATACAACTCTGAATATGTAAGGTGTGCAAAGGTACACATATGTATTGCATCTGTGGGCAATTCATGTACATAAATTGTAGAAACTAATTATAGAAACCAAAACATCATAATTATCAAACAACGAGCTATATTTTTCATTGAAAGCTCGCTGATTGATTGCTTGATTGTAGGAGAATCCCTAATATAATTTAACACATTATTTCACAATAGCAGTAGATATATATGTACTTAATATATATAAGGCCGTGCTCTCTAATTGAACGAAAGTAAATAACGCCTGCGTAACTCACAAGTAATTAAATGTTGGGGGAAATAATTACTGCGCAATTACGACGTTAAATGATTTCATTCAACAAATACACGTGGGACTAACGGTCTTGTTATTGTGTATATAAGAAAGTACAGCTTTGGAAAAGAAAAACACAGATACAGAATACAAGTCAGAGAATAAAGAAACAGTTTGCGCATGGTGATTGAGCGAAGGCGGAGTTTTTGGACTAGACAAGACTGAAAAGGTGGGAGCTTGTAGTTTATTGTTTATTAGAATGCCAAATCATACAATGACTACTTCACGACTGATTTCAGAGCGATCGCCGATGCGAAAACCGCTGTGTGAGTTCGAAAAGTGAGTTACAGAATCGCAGGGCTGGACTATATCCAATCATAGACACGGATGGTAGGAATGTAAAATGAAAGGATTTTGAAAAATCCGTTTTTATGCACTAATTAGTTAATATTGCCCAAATATTGTGCTTATAACCAAGGGCGGATTCAGAAGAGATTTACCTCGCACCCTGAACGCCCGCACGACAGACTGATTTATTTAATCGCACACTGGCTGAATTCACAAGGATTGTACAATTTAAAATTTGTTATTAAAAGGTTTAGGTTTTATATTTATTGTTTTGGTTATGTTTGTATGTTCTTAGTTTAAATTTTGTATTAATGTAGTTTTTTGTTGTATTAAAAAGATTTGTTGTATTAGAAATTGAGCATTCTGATGAACGAGCTAGGTCTGGATATCTATAGTTGCTCCCCTCACACTTTAAAAAACAATAACTGCTAGTTTTTGTAATTTTAATTGTTTTGTTTGATATTTGTATAATAATAATAATAATAATATCTCTTCGTGTATGACATGTTTACCTATAAGTGTTTGGAAAGCTTTTATCAATAATTAAAAGAAAACGTTTGTATACACAATCTAGAAAATCATAAAAAAAGCCTATTATCCATATTTCCTAAGTATATTAAAAAAAGTGCGTGCGGACAAAGTATACATGTCAGAAGTGAAATTTATTTGGAAAACTATATTTTTTTTAAATTTATTTCTTCGATAATAAAAACACGTGGCGTTTTAATTTACTATTCGTTCACACTTATATCTCAAAAATTCTCTTAAGGATATTTTAATTTTAAAAATAAAATTTCTATAAGGTAATCCGCCCTTCTCACTCTCTTTCAATCGGTCTCAATCGCTCTCACCCTTTTCTTCGACAAAAACGCTGCACATCTTCGTGACGTTTTCGTAAAAATTTACCCTCATGCGCCTAAAGAAGTTTCACTTCAAAATAATTAGACAGCTGGATGCGCCTATGTCATAGCATGGTTGAGACCACTTCCGTATATCACAATTAAATATTTTGACGTACGTAGTAAGATGAAGCGCTGTCTCATTTCTGTCATACCCTTAGCACTATGAATCACTCAAAATACAGTCGTGTAAAGTATCGACTCTGATGGAGTGTCCCACAAATCGAAGTGTGTCACAGAAGTATTTATGTTGCAGCAAAGACAATAAACAGTTGCATAGGGGGCCTCATAGCCTAGCGGTCTTATTAAGTGGCAGCTAGGTGAGGGGTACCGGGTTCGATTCCCGGTTCGAGGGCAAGTTTTAATTTAATTTAAATTTGTTCTCGGCCTTTGGGAGGGTTGTGCGGTACCGGGCGAGTGCCTAAAACCGTACATGGAGGACATGGTCGAATTTTTATCTTATACTTGACGCTGGCTAATGCACAAACCGTGCCAGAGCCATAAAAAAAAAACAGTTGCATATAGCATATGTAAACGATTACCAATTATAAACTGCCTGCGGTCGTCCGTTGTTTATATTAATTGAAATCCTCGCAATAGCCACTGAAATCAACAATAAACGCTAATTATCTGTTCCGATGAACCTTTAACAAAAGAGATTAAAGCTTTTATTGAAGAAAATTGTATAAACAATTTTCAGCACATTTTCAGAACGTTGATTAATTTCGTTGGGACCGTAAATTGCGTATATTTAATTCACAGTAAACAAGCAAATTGAATATGGTAGATAAGCTTGTTATGAACGGTGCCTTTGGCTAGGTTTCTTGTTTACTACGATTGCTGAAAAGTATGAAAAACATAAAGAAATTTAATAATGTAAACTTAGTTGCAATCATATGAAAATACAGAATCACAGTACAATTAAAATAGTTAAATAAAAAGGAGGGCCACTTATCACATTAGAGCTCTCCAGGCCACTTATGTTATGTTAATAATGAAATTGAAGAGAAGAGCAGCGTTGGCCTAGTGGTTCCAGCTTGCAGGGTATGCACAACAGCGAGTCCCACATAACCCTTCCCCACCAGGTCAACCGTGCCGCGGGAGGGTATGCGTAACGCATTTCCCCAAGAAAAAAAAAAAAGAAAAAAAAAAGTGGCTCCAGCTTTCGACTCTCATCCTTGAGGTCGTAGGTTCGATCCTGCACCAATGGACTCGAACGGCGAAGGAAAACATCGTGACGAAATCGGCTTGCCTTGAATCCAAAAAGTCGACGGCGTGTGTCAGGCACATGAGACCCATCACCCATTAGATTGACAAATGGTGATGAAATAGATAGATAACTGAGGCTTAATCCTATAATTTATAAAGGTTGTAGCGCCGCTGACACTGACAATTTTTTTTACAATGAAACTAAATTCATGTTATTACGTGTATACGTTAAAAACGTTATGTAATAAATTTTTATCTACGAAACGCAAATTCGAATTACTTAGAAAAGGTCTGTTATCTTTTCCTTTTTCTCTTTATCTTTTTCTTTGTTTTATTTAACAATTTGTTTACACCTCTAAAGTATCCAGGATTATGGGGGCGAGATAAAAGGTATTTAACCTAATTCAACACACTTTTTTATAATTTCTTCGTGAAATTTTTGTAATATATTTTGTGAATTAAAATAAATACTTAAATTTTGTATATGCCGCGTATGCGTCAACGTATCCAGTTCTTGTAAACAAAAAAGACAGATCGATAGAGAGAGATTTTTATAGAAGATATTATTAGTTAAATCTTTAACTAATATACTAAATAAATGAGGTGAATTAAAAAAAAACGCACAATCAGCTATATCAAACTAGCATGCAAATGTCTTATTTAATTTAAAAGCAATTCTGAATTCAATTATTTATTGTGTTCTAAGTAAGTATCTCAAAACATATAATCTAAGAACTCCCTCAAATCATAGAAGCACCGTGAGAAGTAATATAATATAGAATATATGTAATAAGAAATACAACAACATACAAACAAATAATAAGAAATTATTTGATAAGTATTAACAACGCAATGTTACGAAGATGAAAAACTTGGGTTGTACAGTTTCTGTCTCAATTACCATACCTTCACTAAATTATAGCTGAATTTTCGTTGCAAACAAAACCTACATTTACCTTACCTTTTATCAAACTCGTGCAAATCTTCCGAAGTGAACTGACTGGTAACGTCTAACAACTGCTGGATGTGATCACAGGCCCTGCTGTTCCGTCTAGCATCTTCTCCGTCTCTGATGAGGATGGTCGAACATCCACCGTAGTCTAGGGAGAGGGAAGGCTGCTGCACTACGATGGTGGTACGACCAGCCGGCATAGAAGATGCTGAGTCTAAAGGATTTGCCGTAACGTGGACTTGAGCTGCTAGAAAATGATATGTATCTTGTATTAGTACGATGGAGTAGTATTATTGTATAGTGTAACTGGGATAAAAATTTAAATATTTTTTTTAATATGTCTTAAATATACCAAATAAGTTTTTAAGTAGAAAAAAAAAATTCATTTTAAGTAAATTAAAAAAAATGTCAGCCCATGTGGACTGGCAATGTGCGCATGAGATATAATTTCTCGGCACTTAACATACCAGTAGATTGTCGTCTTGAAGATGCTGGTGGAACGGAATGCTGGTGGGTTGATCTCCTTCTGGTAAAGACTTCTGTCCCCTCTAGTTGTTTCCGCAGCCTCGCCACTTCATCCTTATAATATTCCTTGTCTTTCTTGACCCTGGGCTCACTTCCTCTCCTTACAGCCTCGGGTTCAAAATTGAAGTGCGTTTCGTATTTTGTTTGTGTAACTTTTGGACTTTTTGGTGGTTCTATTTTGTCATATTGCATTGACGTAGAGGGCGCTGCTAGGTCGGGATTCGGTTGGCTTACTTGAGTTTTATTACGGGGCTGGGAAAATAAGATAAATGTTAGTATTTGATTTGAACAGTGTACTTGTGTACAAGTAAGAGTGAAATTCTCCATTATGATCCGCGTTTAATTCCAATGTGAATCAATAAATCGAATCAAAGTATAAAAGAAATGGTATACAAAATATATATAATGTTCTTTAAACGTCAATAAATATACATTTACAGTCAATTGTCAAATATAGGGGACGACTTTCGAACTTAACAGAAGAACTGGTAAAAATCTCTCCGTCTCTGTTTTCAATGCTTATTCAAAGGAATTTATTTTATTAGACTATAAAAAGGAAGGTCTTAGAACCCTTAAGCTAATAATGCGTCTGCTTAAATACCTACGCTGCTTTAATAAGTACTATTAGAGATTACACTGTTCCATATACTGCCTGAGCTAAGTTTTAAAATTCGGTTATTTTTATGCTCGCTAGAGGCACTGGCCTAGATTCCCACGTAAGCTACCACGTTCGTCTATGAATAATAACACATTATGTATCTTAGGTGATATCAGCCCATTGCTTGGAATAAAGCGAAACATTTTGGTCGTATCTAACGGGCCGAGGGCACGTAGAAAAATCACCTTGACTATTTAAAATAAACTAAAATGATATTTGTATTTTATTATATTTTGGTTACAACCATTAATGAAATAAATTCTTTGAAGACTTAGACCGGTGTATTAAAACGTCATTCAAACTTAAATCAAGTTTCAAGAGCTATTAGATATCGACAAGACAAAATCGCTTAGAGTATTAAGCCAGAAAGGAGTCGCCTTTACGCGCGTCCCCCTCTGTCAAAGTACGAACCCGCTGGACATACGCGTTATATAAAACTGTTTCTCGACCCTTCCGCGCCATTCCGGTATGACGCTTGTTAGTGTAAAGAGCTCCGACAAAAATGACTGGATGCAGTGTATTCGGCTGTAAAAAAAGGTCTGACACATCGAGTGTACAAAAAGACAACGTGACATTTCATCTGTAAGTATTTTCTTAAGTAATATTATCGTATATTATAAGAATACGTGAAAATCAAATAAATATTCATTGCCGAGTAATGCCGAGTCAATGTTGCCAGTTTATTGCAAAGTTCCGCACTACGACGTTTTTTGTGGCTTAATTTTTTTATTTGCATAATTTTTTTACTAACAGATGGTACTTACATAGCGATCATATTGTTCAATGACTTAAGTAAATATGCTTTACTATTGATTAGTTGTCCTGTTCGTGGATTCGCTCACAAGTACTTTGAAGGTTTACCCGACACTTCAAATTTTCTTATTATACTAATGTCTTTAATTAATGAAGAAAGGACGTGAAAAATTATAAAAATTTATCACATGAATTTATCCTAATAATGGTTATTTTCCTAAGTTGGTAGTTAGCCACACCAACGCCAGTTTACGTCATTTACGTAGAGAGGGGACACATACTATTTTTTTATCGATAAATTATTGAACGAATGAACAATATAATGTAATTATGGATACATTTTTTTAGTTTGAAATAAAACAGTTTTATTATAGATTTCCAAAAGACCCTATCCGTCGACAACAATGGATAAAAGCTTGTGAAAATCACAGAACATGGCTACCCAAACGTACAAGTAAAGTTTGCTCCGATCATTTTGATACGTCATGTTTCTTGTTGCTGGCTAACAACAAAAGAAAATTAAAGGAATCAGCAACACCTACTTTGAAATTACCAAATGTAAGTTATATCTAGTTTCGATGCAAACATGTAGGGATCTGTAATAACGTATTATGTATTCCATATAGTTTTGAACATCCACTGGAGTAACTAAAAAACGATTAATTGCTTTTCCAACACCAATGTATACCTATTCTTTACTTCAATGTATACCTTAAAATATAACGGTTTTCAGAAATTTATTCTGTCAACATACGAAGCAAATAGATCTTTATGATTGTTATTTTAAACCAACCTTCTATTTGCGAATTCGTCTGGGCGGATTTTGGATTGTAACAATTTGTTGACTATCCCTTGGGGACCTTACACATTTCCGGGATAAATCATAGTCTGTGTTAGTAGTGCTTGTTCCCTACACCCCCCAAATTTCATCGAAATCGGTCAAGCCGTTAAGCGTGAAAGAGAAACAAACACAAATAAAAAATCATACTTTCACATTTATTATACTATAGTCCGCTTTACATTTGTGTAAGTGATCGCCAAAAGCATTATACCTTATCTTCTTCAAACTTAAACACAATAACAAAATTAATTTGCAGCTCAATAACGCGTTCGTCATATAAGTATGACAGTACAAGATTGAAACACTGATTTAGTATTACAAACTTGTTGTCGCGTTAACAAAGTATGGCGCGATTTGTTATTGAAGCGCAACTAATTTTGTAACCGTGTTTAAGATTGATAGAGACATGTTATTGGAGTGGGACGCATCGCCTTTCAGACTGAGTATCAAACACCAGTAAAAACCGGTTCAAACACAGAAACAGGGGTTCAAACTAAGCACAGGACGCGCGCGCTTCAAGTCGACTGCAATTCTACACTATCCGTGTGCAGTCACATAGATACAAAGCTCAACTTACGCCTCACGGACTGTAGTAATGTTATTTTATATGTTATTTTGTAGGCTGACTTCGAAAAACCAACCGATTGCCAACCAGCAAAAAAAATGAGATTTGAGACTGAAACCTCGGCTAGTTCACCACCCCACTCATCAACTTTTCGCTCTGAGTTATCAACAAATCATGTTTCACCTACTACAAGTACTAATGTTTCTTGTTATAAATTGGACCAAGAAACACCAAGAATACGTAAATTAAGAAGAATAATAGTTCAAAAAAACAAACAAATTAAAAGACTTCAGTCGAAAACACGATATTTAAAAAAGAAAGTTGCTAGTTTAAAAGAAATACTTGATGAGTTAACCAAAAAATCTTTAATAGATAAAGAAAATAGAAGAATTTTGGAAGCCATAGGCGTGGAAGAGACCGAACTAATAAAAAGGCAAATTATAAAAAGCAAAACTGGAAAATTACCCAGAGTTAAGTATTCTCCTGAATTAAGATGTTTTGCACTTACATTAAATTATTATTCACCTAAAGCCTACCGTTATGTAAGAAAAACATTCGGAACCTGTTTACCAGCGCCGCGTACATTGTCAAAATGGTACAGTACTATTAACGGTCGTCCAGGCTTCACAAAAGAGGCACTAAATGCACTGAGATTGAGAGTTGACAGTAATACTGGCAAAAAATCTATTGCTCTTTGATAATGGATGAAATGAAAATAAAAGAATTTACCGAATACAATTCTAGTACCCAAAGGCATTACGGATACGTAGACTACGGATTTGATTTTATATCGGACAATTCCGATAAAGCCACTGATGCTCTAGTGTTTCTATTGGTGGGCATCAATACCACATGGAAAGTACCTATTGGGTACTTTTAATAAAAAGGTATGACTGCTAACTTAAAAGCTCGACTTGTCACAATAGCGTTCCAGCTCGTTCATGAAACTGGTGTTGAAATTAAGGCGTTGACATGTGACGGCACAAAATGTAACCTTGCCATGGCTGAAGAATTGGGCTGCTGTCTTGATCCACTAAATTTACAGACTAAAATATTAGATCCTCATACTGGACAAGAGATTTTCTTTTTTCTAGATCCGTGTCATATGTTGAAACTGGTTAGAAATGCGTTTGAGTTTTACGAATATTTTTTAACTTATCGATCTGGCCATGAAAAAAAAATAGAATGGTCATATATCACAAAGTTGCACCAACTACAAGAGGAAGAAATGTTTTATTTAGCCAACAAATTAAAAGCGAACCATATTTATTTTAAGTCAAAAATAATGAATGTCTCATTGGCTGCCCAACTTTTCAGTCAGAGCGTAGCTGACGCATTGATTTTTTTGTGCTGACATTATGAAGATGCCTTCTTTCAAAGAAGTAACTCCAACCGCTGAATTTTTAATTTTAATGAACGATATATTTGATGTCCTCGATTCAAAAACTTGGTCCAATGCGTACAAACAGGCATTAAACTCAAAAAACTATCAAAAGGCATTTGACCGATTAGATGAAGCAAAAGCTGTCATAACTAACTTATCTGTGGTTATTCCTAGGGGTAACACATTAAAAAAAGTAAATATATTAAAATCTCCAAGACACACAGGTTTTTTAGGTTTTTGCGTGTGCATTGAAAGTGCAAAAAAGTTGTTCAAAAGGTTAGTGTTAGACCAAGGCACAATACTTACGTATCTGCCCTTACATAAGATCAGCCAAGATCATATAGAAATTTTTTTTTCCAATGTTCGTAGCCATGGCGGGTATAATGATAATCCCACAGCGCGACAACTCGAAGCAATATATAAGAAACTATTGGTACACACAGAGCTAAACCGAAATGAACGAGGTACAAATTGTATTCCTTTAGAAAAAATATCAATTTTAGATTGTTCTTCAGGGATAAAAAAAATCAACGACACATCTTTGTCATTCTGTATTAATTTAGAGGCAGATAAACAATTTTCCATCACAGAGGAACAGATACTTACAGATATAGATAGCTACACATACTTATCTCCTTTCGGCGAGGAAGTAGTGAAATACATAGCGGGCTACGTGGTTTTTTCTATCATTAAAAAAATCAAATGCAGTATCTGCGTCAAGGCTCTTTTAGGCGTGCAGTGTAAAGAAAGCTTGATTTATCAAAAAAGTAGAGGTGGCTTAATGTATTCCTCAGAAGAGGTAATATCCTTATGTCGCTTTTGTGAATTCGAGATTAGAGCCACACTTACGTCGGATAAAAAAGTTGATCCTAAATACAACACTAAACGAATTGTTATTCAAACTTTAAAAAAACTTGTAGGGAAAACACTCTTTCATTCTATTGAGGAACATTATTTTGACAACGATTATGTGACGCATAACATAGAACTGGCAAAGGTTGTTATGGAAAAATATGTAAACACGAGAATCACTTACCTTTCTAAGAAAAAGGATCCAAAAAAATGTATCCGTCATATATTCACAAAACTCATTCACTTCAAAAATCAATAAAAAGTTTTGCTGGATTTGCAGATTTAAATAAAACTTATCAAAATCCGCTATTTTGTAAGTAATAATAGTGTTCTTATTATTTCATACATGAAACTAGTACCTAGTATAAAATAAAATTGTGTTTTCTTATGTCGTTTCAAATTTTTAAATTCAAAATCATCATGGGATTTCAATTACGCTATTTAAAAAAGTAGTAGCAATAAAAATATTTTTTTAATGTCAAATGATTATACAGTTACATGATGTTTTCATATAAATAAATACTTTGATTGACAATGTGTTTAGAAACCCCCTGTTGTACTTTTTAACCTCTTTGTAATAAATATTTTTTCTTAAGTACGTTGTTTTAATTGCCTATTTTATTACATTTAGGATGGAGCGTCATGGAGGAGACCAGCGCATAACTTCTTCTAAATATTAGCCGTATAGTAATGTATTGCAAATTTTCTCTAAAATATTTTAGAAATGCTATAAACACTTTAGAAATCATCGCTAACATACTCTCCTAAGGTGCAACTGTCGCAAAAACAGAAAGAAAAGAAGAAGAAAGAAAAGTCCAATGTACATTCAGTTGTTTGTTTAAATAAAATAAATAAAAACATGGAGCGCTAGTGTCCTTCTTGATGCACTACTTCACCTTAGTGAAAGTTAATGAAGCCATGAGGGACGGTACCCAAACCAAAGTCCGTTATTAGCTTGAGTCACGCAAGAACTTGACACTACTTATCCTTATACACACTGAAACTGACCAATTCATAGAGTTTGGGTACAGTCGCTTGTGGCGCCATTAGTTCACAATTTGCCACCGCATGTGTGAAAAAATTTTTTTTTAGAATATTTCTGCTATTGCAGAATAGAATGAACAACTGAATGATTGAATAAATAAATTTTATCGACATTCCTTATCGACATGGTGGTAGCTCTAATTATGTCGGGATTGTTGCGTATGTGTGCTGTACATGTAACGTGTAAAGATACGATTTCTTTAAATGTGTGCGTTGCGGTTACTCTTGTGTAAGCAAATTAGGTTTGTGTGCGTGTGTACAAACATTGTGCAATTTGTTTCTGTAGTAAAATTTTGTCTGTGTGAGTGCCTCGTCCCCCGCCGATGTTTTGGCAGAAAAAATAATTAGCATCGTTCGAGTGATGGCGTCTCCTTTCTGGCTTAATACTCTAAGACAAAATCGTGATCTTAGACGTTATTCATTTGGGAATTCGTTATTCTGTTACAAATATATTTCTGACCTAGATCAGGTTTATTTAATATTTTATGATATTTATTTATTCATTTATTTCGTAATCATACAGCTAACAAAAAGTGTATAAAAAGGGTTCGTGTACTTATTTATGTACGCGCGTAAGAAGTAATACTTCTTTGGCATTATTAAAAATATTTTTTGATTGCATGCAAATAATAAATTACAATTAAATAATCAAAGACTGGAAAAGGAGTCATTATAGTCGATAAAGTTCAGTTTACATTAGAAAAATTAAATAAATAAATATTTATTATTCTGTTACATTAAGTGTAACATAAATTCTATTATTATTCGAATGTTGTTTTTAAATTATGTCCAATGCCGTAGTATCTTCCGTGGGCAACTTCATTCTGTTAATTTTGTGTCACGGTGCGCGCGCATCGTAAAATTTCACTCTCATCAATTATTCATAACGCGCCTAAATAAGTATAACTTCAAAAACAAACAATTACAATAAAAATATAGCCAAAGATGGAATACATAATATTTACGAAAAGGTTCAAACATTTACATAAGGGAAAATACAATAAAAATTATTCAAAACATTTAACTAAGTAATACCTAATTTGGCTGTGATGTGTGATGGTCGAAAGTGAGGGTATGTACGTGAAGATGTGTATGTGGGGTATGCTAATGATGCAGGTGATTTTGTGCTATGGATATTCTTAATACTCATTTTAACCATATTCCGCGATAGGCTAAACAAGTCAAGGCTTAAATATTGGTCGTTGTTTGTCCGGGCTGCGTGATACAAAACTGAATTTTTTGCATAGTTAGTGTTGATGTGACTAACATGATATGATATATTAAACTTTATATGGGAATGTATAATTGTTGAAAAACATTCTGTATTGATAAACTAAATAATCCGGATATAATCAATATTTTATTACAAAATGAAATACGATCAAATTTTTCAATTATGGAATATTCTTTTTTCGAATTTAAGTTTACATTTTCATAGGTAAATATGGCCGATGTTATAGGCATTTCGCCCCGACTTTTATAAATTAGAACATTACTGAGCCAAGATCAAAGGGGCTTCTAAGTAGTCATCGTTAGACGCACGCTACAGCTATTTACTTCAGGATCAAGTGACTATGTTCAGATGAAAGCTTCCTAAGGCTTTTTATCTTGTTCTTCGTTACAGACCGAGTATTCTCTTACGAAGTATAATTAATCAATAGGAATTCTTTAAATGAGCCAAGAAATTAATTAATATATTGTGCAGAAAAAGGTGAACTGTTTCTCCAACCTAACGAGAGGATATTTTTTATCGCTACAATATTAATAATTAAATTATTGTCTTTTGAGTAAAAACTAATTACGGCTACACGTGTTGCCTTTCAGAAGACTCTTTTTTGTTTATTTATTTAAAAAAGCTTGCTAACGCTCGGCACTCTGATACGTTTGTACAAGAAAAATAAAATAAAATATTTAATGTGACAAGCAATAGGCAAACATAACAAACACGAAGAGATAAAAAAAATAAACCAAAATTTTAAAATAAATTAAAGTAAAGGATTTCAAAGTGTGAGGGGGGCAACTATGGATATCCAGACCTAGCTCGTTTATTATGACGTAACAGATACGCAGATGTATTTTTTAACACACATGCCATGCTCTATTTCCATGTAAACCAAAAATTTGGGCTATGCAGTGTTGGCCTAGTGGCTTCAGCGTGCGACTCTCATCCCTGAGGTCGTAGGTTCTACCCCGGCTGTGCACTAATGGACTTTCTTTCAATGTGCGCATTTAACATTCGCTCGAACGGTGAAGGAAAACATTGTGAGGAAACCGGCTTTCCTTAGACCCAAAAAGTCGACGTCGTGCGTCAGGCACAGGAGGCTGATCACCTGCATTAACAAATGATCATGAAACAGATACAGAAATCTGAGGCCAAGACTCCACTGATTAATTTTTATTTTTTAACAGATACGCTAAAAAAATTCTGACAAATAATTGCAACGGTATTAAACAAGATTCTCACCTTTTCAGGTTTCTTGTGATTTTGATGAGGTTCTGGTATAGGTACATCGAAGATAAACCTCGCTGGTCCAGGCCTAGGTGAATCCAAGGTGTCTGTGGCTGACTGGGGAATAGCGTAGGATGGGGGGTCGAATTCTCCGCTGTCCTGCCCCCTGTGGTAATGTGGGGGTGCTGTAGAGGGAGGGTTTCCTTGGGGATTGGGTGGAGGGGTGTCGTCTATAAGGTTTTGGAGTTCTGGGGGGTCGGCTTCTGCGTCCATGGAGTCATCGGTCCCGGTGATGGAGGTGAGGGCTGTGGCTGCAGAGTCTGTGCTGGTGTTTATGGTTTTATCTGATGTTGTGCTGCTGCTCATCACCACTACCTGTAATTAAGAGACTGATTAGTTTCTTCTTTATAACATAAATTTTATCTTACTTTAAGAAACATGACATACAACATATCTGCTAGCCAATAAACTAAAGGAAAATCTAAATTAAATCAAAATCAAAATTGGTCGCACAATATAAAACTTATAATGTCAGTCAACATAATCGAAAGATATAGGGACAGAGAAAGCGACTTTGTTTTATACTATGTACTGATAGTTAATACAAAAGTTAAACCAATACTTATTATATTTAAACACATACTGTTACGGCCGCCTGACGACGGGTACAAATCAGGGCGGGTGCACTGGGAACTTATCTCAAATCCAACGTCGACGAACGAATTTGGAAAAATGCTATTTGTACATGAAGAAAAATTTGTAAATGTAAAACATTTTTACTATACCTACTTGACTAAAGAAGTTGAGAAAGTTGAATTTATTTAAATAAACGTTTCATTTTAATTCATGCTTACATAGCACTTAAATACTTTTGAGTTCTTCAAAAACTAAAAGAGTACTTTAAATTAAAATTTGCTAACTAACGCCAAAAACTTTCCGTCTAACGTTAATAGGTTTAGATTTATATTCGTATAGTATAGTATGGTGGTACTGAGGTCGATTTACTCGCCCAAGTGGCGCAGAACTTTTTTATATGTATTCACTTGATACATATATTTAATTTTAAGATTTTCAGAAGGTGTTCAGCGCGCATAAATCCATTGTCGGAGGAAGTCGGAAATCAGAGCCGGAGTTCCCAGAGCTGGAGTTCGAGTAATTGTCAATACCATATTTTTATAGAAGTTCATTTTTTTTGTATTAGAAATACCGAAGCATTTTTTTTTATATGGCTCTGGCACGGTTTGTGCATTAGCCAGCGTCAAGTATAAGATTTTTGTATAATTCGTGCTTGTCTTTAGAAATTCGACCGTGTCCTCCATGTACGGTTTAGGCACTCGCCCGGTACCGCACAACCCTCCCAAAGGCCGAGAACAAATTTAAATTAAATTAAAACTTGCCCTCGAACCGGGAATCGAACCCGGTACCCCTCATCTAGCTGCCACTTTTTAAGACCGCTAGGCTATGAGGCCCCTCACCGAAGCATTTTAAAGGGAATTGTTAATATGTTTGACATTTGACAGTACAAGAAGAGGCCTGTTATATGCTTAAATAATAAAAATCATCTGATTACCTACTTACCTATTAGATTTAAAAATGATCATGAAACAGATTCTGAAATCTGAGACCTAAAGAGGTTGTAAATCATACAAAAAATTGGTAAAAGAAACAAGGAGTGCTTGCCAAATCGTCCTAGTTACTAATGCTATCTACTTAACATAAGTTTTTTAATACCTTAATAATATAGTCGGGGAATGATCTAGAAAATAAATTTAAGTGTGACAAAGTCAAACATTTGTTAGCGAAATGAATGTAAACATTTTGAGAGTAATTGCGAAAAAACACAAAGAAAGTTACAAAGCTTTTATTGAATCAGTGAAGTAGTCGTAACCATTAACATCCATTTTTAAAAGCTAAACGTTGCCGAGAGCCAACTCTGTATTGTTCACAGGGAATGTTCGCGATGCACTTTCTCAGTCTGCAGTTTGTTGCAATATTTCATTTTACCATTCTATATCATAGATCCAGTGCTGTCTTTTTTATTGTCTATAGATTTTTAGTGTCATTTTTTTATTCGATTTGCAGATATTGTATCCGGATGTTGTGTGTCTGAAACCTAAATAAAAATAATGTTTGGTTATGTTAGTTGCTGCAGAAATCTTAGACACGTAATAGGTATTTATTTACACTGATAATTCAAATTCAAAAATCATATAGGTTACAAAATCTACACTTATGAACGTTAAAAGATAAATATATATGAAATGCTTCTAATTTTAAATTTACTGCTCGCTACTCGAATCAAAGGCGTAGAACGGAAGAGAAGAACTGGCAATAAACTCTTTGCATTCTTTTTAATCGAAAAGTTTTTTGTTTTACACAACGTTTGTAAAAAGCTGTAACCATTACACCATGTTCCACATGACATCTTAAGTAACTAATAATAATACAATTAAAAACAAAGATTTGTCCTCTATCAGCAGGAGGCATGGTGAAATAGGAGCACGCACTTACATTCTTGTGGGAACAACACGCAAATCATAGTCGAAATAACTAACATCACCGCATACCCGAATTCAAGTCCGACCAGTCACCAGAAGTAGCACCCGTTCACGAGTATGACGCATGGCCAGCCATCGGCCAATTAATGAATAATAAAATTAATTAATGGAGTTCAAAGTTTAGATCTTAGATTTCATTATTCAAATCAAGAAGGATACGCTAACCGATTTGGATTTCGAATCTACAGAAGCATTACTGCGTATGTCGACATGACGCTCTTCAAAAACTAACACAGACACAGCGCACACTTATAACAATTACATATAACAACAAACTCTCAGCTACACTCTCAAATACAAACGCACACACACCCATTCACTCACACATTCACGCATACTTAATGTCTTTACGACTTGTGTTTGGTAAGTTGTAACACTAAAACTACTTTCATGTACCACGGAATAGTTATCTAGTTACACACAACACAGGGACTCCCTAGAGTGGGGACTAGCAATAGATGAATTTTGTCACAATCGATTTCTGTCATGAAGCTTTTATTATTTGTTTTAAGAGATAATTCGAGAGTGTGGTCCGATTCTACAATCAAATCATAAATTTACATATATTAGGTCCTTACATATGAAATTGGCATTTTACGTTTTGGCCACTTTGACCTCAAATATCTCCTCTTTGTTTAAGAATTCCAAATTAAAATTTGTACAGCTATTTACTCATGTATTTGTGCTTCGATGACCGTCATTCATTTGTTTTTTTCTGTTTGCGTCACTCATTTTACAAAATGGAAAACTTAAAGTATCTCATTATTTACGAGTACGAGTTCCGCCGTGGCACTAGTGCTGCGGAAACGACTCGAAGGGTGAATGATGTGTATGGCGGTCATGTTGCAAAAGAAAACACAGTTCGTTTTTGGTTCTAACGTTTTCGTTCTGGAAATTTCGACCTGCAGAACAAGCCCCGTGGGCAGCCTGAGACCCAAGTTGATAATGAAGTATTGAAGGCTATTGTGGAAGCGGATCCATCGCAAACCACGTCCGAGTTAGCTGCAGGCTGCGGTGTTAGTGATAAAACTGTTTTAATTCACTTGAAGCAAATTGGGAAGATTTAAAAGCTTGAAAGATGGGTACCTCACGAATTGACTGAAGCAAACCAGCAAACGCGCGTCGACTGCTGCGTTACATTACTGAACCGGCACAATAATGAAGGTATTTTAAACCGAATTATTATTATTTATCATTACCTGTGATAAAAAATGGATTCTTTACGATAATCGGAAGTGCTTAGCGCAATGGTTGGATCCTGGCCAGCCAGCCAAATCCTGCCCCAAGCGAAAATTAACCCCAAAAAAGTTACTTGTAAGCGTTTGGTGGACTAGTGCCGGTATTGTTCATTGCAGTTTTCTCAAATCTGGCCAGACTATTACGGCTGATGTCTATTGTCAGCAATTGCAAACCATGATGGAAAAGCTAGCGGCTAAACAACCTAGGCTGGTCAATTGCTCCACGCCACTGCTACTTCACGACAACGCTAGACCACACACTACACAACAGACGGCTACCAAAATAAATATGTTATTTGTCTTTATAAATTTATCGATTAATTCATTTGAAATTCTATGACTAATATAAATATATTTTATATATGCATTTTTTATATATGCGTCAGATTCTAGTTACATATTACTATGTAAAATTCGATAGACCATGGAAAATGAGGTTATCAATGACGCGGCAGAAGGGACACACCTTTGTTGCACAAAAGCCGCATTGCGGGACTGACACAAAATTGCTATTGACATCACTTGAGGCAATATACTTATGAATGGAGTTGCTTAGACATAGAACCGTAGATATCGGCAATTTTCTGCTACCAAAGCTTTGGTCGGTACTATTGTTTTATTATGTAAATGTACGGAATATTAAAATTATTTAGCTATAATTTGAATAAATTTTTGCCTGTATCATCGTAGCTCATAATTTAATGGACCAATTTTGATGCGTTGTTTTTTGTTACAAGCGTGTCGAGACTGTTAACTATAATAAACGAAGACCTATTTAGGTGTCAAGGTCATCGGCTCGTTTTATTTTATGTAACAGGAGGCAAACCGCCGCTCGCAAGTGCGTTGCTGGCCTTTTGAGAATTTGCACGATCTTTTTTCGAAGGACCCTAAGTCGAATTCTTACGGAAATACTTCAGTGGGCTGCTGGTTCCACATATTGATGGTTGTTAGTTGCTGCAGAAATCTTAGACACATAATCGGGATAATGATAATGGACCTCAAAGAATATATTTTAGGTCTATTATCATTATGTTTTAACTTAAGTACTCACCTCTCATTCCATGACACCGTAAACCCAATTTGACAGAAAGAGACGAAACACCACTTTACTTAAAAGAGCGGAATTAGATTGATTTATTTTTTACAAAGAGGATTTAAACTTACGGCCTGCCATACATGGAATGGATTAGCAAATTAAATGAACGACACAACGCGCATAATTTTGTTTCAAAAACTAAAAGAATGATTATTCAATATGTAAGGGTCAAATTTGAATGAAACCTTTTTATTATACGATAACTTACTTTATGTCACACACAGTGATGTCGAAAAACTCTCGAAAAACCTTTTGAATTCCGAACGCAAAACTCTAAACAAATATTTTGTTTAACGTATAACAATGTCAAAGCTAAAGCGCTTTAAGCTTAAATTTTGCTGTTATATTGAGACACCTGCCCACGCTTAGTTGCCAACACACAATATACTTAAACCATAACTACCTCTAGAATAAATTAATTTTACAGCTCTGAGTTGAAATTGTTTGTTCTTTGTAACAGTTAAAATAGATTAT